TTTCCCTATAAAGCTGTCTCGTACCTGAAGTAAAACTGTGTAAAGCCCTCAGTGTGGTGAGCGTCCTGCTGTGCTGTGTTCTCCTTCGGAGCGAGCAGGCGAGCCCAGGGCGCCTTGCAGCTCCCTCAGCTGGGGTGAAACCCTTCGTTCCTCCCAGGTGATGCAGCTCACAGGAAGCTGCACCAGTGCTCGTTTGCCCTCAGAAGAATGTAATGAGGGAGCAATAGGCAGTGATGGTTCAACCATAAGGAAAATTGAAGGATTCTTCTGTTGATCAAAAATGCCGAGGTCCCGTGTGCCATGTGTTGATATAACAGACTTTTCTGATTTTAAGGAATTTCTCTTAGATTGACTCTGTGCTGCCAGGTCTTCCAGTAGGTCGGGTGATGACTAACCACGATGATGGCTGGACCTACTAACACGTGTTTCCTTGTGCTTGGCAAGAGGCAGGAAGGCACCATCCATGCTGCACGTGCTCCCTGTTTTCCCAGGACTTTGCCTGCTCTGCCGGGTGCAGGTCGGGTCCATATTCCTGGCAGCTGTGGGGTTCCATGGGGCTGATGGTAACAGCTGGAATTACGGCTTTTTACCCGTAGTTTTGCTTGGCATTTGAAGTTGTTCTCCTGACTTTGCTCCGGTACCAATAAATAATAATGTTCACAGAACAAGCTTGACGTTTGGATGGTGTTTTTCGTTCAAAGTGGGTGAATTTTGTAAGTACAGTTTAAAACCCTTTCCAAACACTTTAGCTCTCAGGGTTTTATTTCTCATTTTCTTTCGTTTTATTTTCTCATTCTCTTGTTTATAGGTGATGTATTTCATGAGACATTCTGAGTAATGCAGAATCCTCCAAGGACTTAAACAACAGGGGAATACTTGCACGGATGCTGTTTTATATAAGAATGTCTGGATCAGACACTGGAGAGAGCTGTAAAGAAAGGTCCAATCTTTTACTTCCCAATGTGTGTGAAGCGACCTGATACCTACAACCACTACTTGAAATTTCAAGGAGCTTTATAAGCTCTTTAAGAGCCCCAGAGGGGTACTTTTTATTGTGAAACACAACAGCCTCTGCAGAATTTATTTAACTTGTTAAACCTATCATTTTAGTTTGTGAAATGAGCATTGTGAAATGATGGGGGGAAAGCAAGCCATCAGTGTGAGAAAAGAAATAAGCTACAGGAAGATTTCTAGGCAGCTTTGTTCTCTTTTAACTTTGAAGATTTTATTGGGGAGTGTTAGAGCATTCTGAAAAGTTACCAAAGCTGGAGCTTGGTGCTCGTGGAGAGAATAGCAAGATGTGGCTGGTAGAGCTGCTTGCAGTGTGCTCTGCAGCCAAGAAAATGTCAAAGTTAGGATTGGAGATTTTGCTTGAAGGAAAATGCCTTATACCACGTGTTGCTTTTCATGGGTTTTGAAGGATTTAGTACCTGGGCCTTATCAGAATAGGCTTTGTGTGTGTGTATGTGGGTAAATACGTGATAAACCTTTTTCCAGTGGTAGTTAAGGGATCAAATAAAAATGGTTCCTTAAAAAAAGGAAATTAGTACTAGTAATAGGTTAGTGAAATTGGCTTTTAAAGAATATTAACTCCAAGTGATCCTTAAAGCTCGCCTGTTGTGTGCTGCACATGCAGCCCTCTCCGTTCCTCTGTGGATAATCTCTGATCCTTGGAAATTGTGTGTTTGTGTAGTACAGTTCTGTGGAATATCGTTCTCAGTTACATGAAGTGATTTATTTGCATGTTCTTATTTTATTAGATGAAGATTAATTAAATAGAATATGCAAAAACAAAGCTCCCCTTCAAAGTTTGCATGTGCTTCTGCATGCAAGGTGGCCCAGAAGGGGGTTCCAAGGACCACTTAAACGAAAGGGTGGGTGAGTGTAGGGGGCAGATTGTAAATAGCTTAAAATTAAATTATTAGCTTAAATATTAGATTAAATTATACAGTAAAAGCTAAGAAAATACTCCCACATCCAAACCCTTGCAGGCTTGCTCGGAGGTTTGTTGCTAGTGGCATAAAACTGGAGCTCGTGATGTTTCTGCACTGTCCTGCCCTCCCTTTTACAGGGCTGTGTGTGGCCTCACATATTCTTCTGTGTCGACAAAAACCTCTCAGAGGCCCCTCTTGCCTCTGATAATTCTGTGCCTTATTTTTGGCCAGAGAGTGAATTGTTTAGGAAAACTTTTGGAAACACTAAGATTCACTCAACTAACTCAGGCCAATATCTGCAGCCGTTGTCAAAATCCACTTAGCCCTGTGGGTCTGAGCTCTTATTACTAAAACAGAGCTTGTAGAATGAATGAGGCTAATTTAAAACTGATTGCATATTCATACAACAATCTTGCCTCCTAATCCTGCATTGTATCACACAAATGAGGCTCTCTTCTGAGGAGCAATGTGCAATAGCGGATTGTGGAGCTGATAGAAAGCTGAGGAACCTGCAGGAAAGGGGATAGCATTTCATCAGGACGTTTCTGTGGGGGAAAATACCCGAGAGCTTCGCCCTGGGGGATCAGGGAGAATTCGTGGTGTCTTGAGAGGACTTAAAATTCAAAAGTTGTCAAGTGTAAGGACACTCGAGTGGGTGACAGAGTGCATGGGTGTGCGTATTCCAGAGGAGAATCCCAGCCAGGTAACTCCCAGGACCGTATTTTTCCAAGCCTGTGATTATTTAGAGATCAACTATATCGATTAAATCCGTAGTAGATCTTCGTGCTTTGGATTTCTAGCCTAGAAATAGGGGAGAAGATTCTCTGTCCTCAAACCGATTCCCTGCTAATACAAGGGGAGCTGTTTCTGCCCGTTTTTATGGCTTTATTCACTGGCCTAAAGGCCTAGTTTTTTTAGACCTATTGGGTGATCTGCCTTTCCTTGCTCTCTTGTGTCTCTCTTGCTGTAACTGGCACACACAGAGAAAGGGTTTTCCGTGCGTTTGGAGCAAAAAGCTTTTGCCCGTAACCAGCTCTGCCTCCCTTCATCCTTTCATGTCTGTCTCCCCTCCAAAACAGCAGCAATCAGCTCAATCCACACAGCGTAAGGAAGCTCTCGTGTGATCATCACTGCCCCAGAGAGGTAAATCTGGACCTGGCGAGCGCAGCACGTGCGGGAGGGAGTGCAAGTGCATCCGCCTCAGGAGCGGAGCAGTTACAACTCACTTCTGAGTATGTTAATACTTGCAGTAGTTAAAACTAAGATTTCCAAAGATACTTCTTTTGTTGTATGTAAACAGTGATTTGTTCGGTTCTGTAGAGATGTTTGTATTCTCTGTTGCTTTGTTTTACAAATGACTTTAAGCTAATTACCAAGTGAGCCACGTGGCTGCTGTATTCTTACATAGTTGGAAAACCAAGTGATTTCTCTATTAGAAGGTTGTTTGCCTATTAAATATTAGTAGAGAGCATAAAGCATTTATAAGATTCCTTACTGTTTAATTCTCCCTAAAATGATCATCGTTATCTCCATGCTGTGTGAAAGGAGCAAGGTTATTAAGCATAATTTTCATTTGGCCGCGTTAACTAAATGATCCATAAAACAAAGAAATGCATTTGTCAGTGTCTGCAAAACTGACAGGAACTTATTACGTGTTTCCAGCCATAACATAGTCCCCGGATCCGTGTTCCACGGAAGTCCTTGCTTGGCTACTCCAAAGTTGATGATGCCTCCTGAGCATCCTTATATAAAACTTAATATTTTATTCTCACTGCACATTCCTGTGGCATTAATCATTGTGGGCTGGGCTTGTGCACTCGAGGATGAGCAGATGTTGAAGTCTTGTTGTCTGTAATCCCTGTCTCCTACTTAGGAGCTCTCTTCCAAGCCGGCTTGGGAGCTGGAGACCAGCGCTGCCGACCTTGGATTCATCGGGATTGCCCGTTAATCAATGCAGGGATCCACGGATTCGTCACAGCAGCCTGGTGGAGGTTAACTAAAGAATCCAAATGGAGTTAATCAACCAGATGTTTTCCGAGTAGTTTATAGCTGAGGATGCATTTCAAACCGTATCCTCTTGTAGAGCACACTGCCCTTGTAAAAATACATATTTATAGTGTTGGGGTCCATCTTCAGGATTTGCTGCCTTCTGGTTCTTGTGCGTTCCCTTGGATGTACCTGGGAAGCCTCAAAGCTATCGGCAAAACTGAAGCAGCTGTTTCAGTGACTGAATCCAGTAACTGTTCATATTTCAGTTCAAAATTAAGGCAAGATCCTTCCAATTTTGTATGATTTAACCGGACAAAGTTATTGATTTCCCGGAATAACTAGAATCCAAGTAGACCCCCTCCAACATGGGTCGAAGTGGCCTCAAAGAGGTGTTCAGGGATGGAGATCAGGCCAGTGCCTGTTGCTGGCCACCTTACTCCGTAATTCTACAACTAGGCCTTGAGTGATAGTAAGAGATAGTCAAAACTTGCAGGTAAAAATTACTCAGTCTGTAAATGTTTGTTACCTGTGAGATGCAGATTATCACCAGTTTCCCAATTGAAATTCAGCATTCCCTGCTGGTATGCAACATAAGGGTGTCGCTAGTATTTCTTCTCTAGCTCCCAGTTTCCGTGAGCAGTCGGAGGGATGGGCAGCCTTGGGAAGGGCTCACAGGGATGCTGCCTGCCCACTTCTCAGGTGCCTGGGGCAGATCTGTGTCCTTGGCACAGCTGTGGTTTCACCCTTGCACACCTGCAGATATTAGACTGATCTTTGACTGC